AGCAAATATATATTTTTGGATTATTCAGCATAGGGAGGGGGTGTTTTACATCCTAAAACACCCCCTGGCTACGCGATTGTCTCACGGACCTGCCCTAAAATTTTATAAAAGTTTATAGTTATATTTATATGTTTATAGTTACCTGCACTAAGTTATATGAGTTTTTAAAGTACCTAATTACAACTTTATACTTAGAACCAGACACCTGGAGCGCATCTATTCCGTAGTGACCGATGACCATTTTCAAATATTCAACAAGAATAAGTACCATAGGATTTATTTATTTAAAATGTATTTAAGTTGCACTCTCATTTGTTATCTTAGGCTTACAAGCCACATATCTTATAAGATTTGCGTTCAGCAGTTCACGTTTAGTTTCGTAACCTACCTAGTTTTATTATTAGAATAAATGTCTGTAGCTGTTCCATAAATATATTTACATTCATTACTCTATGAATGGATACTTCTATGGAAATAAATAATGTAAACTATAAATACAAGAGATTATAATTAATTTTAAAAAATGTTGCTACTGACGATAATTAACAATAACATCATAAAAAAGGCTGGACACCCTGTATAGAACACAAATACCTTATTAGTTAGGGATTAGTTAGGTACATGTTTTATTAAAAACAAAGAACATACATATAACATATAGTCACCTAGACTCCTTAATTCCGCGGATTCGTTTGCACTGTTTAAGGTCTTTACCGGTAATTATTATCATAATTTATTACCTACTTATCATTTGAGTGAACTGCAACTATAATTTTAATTAATAGTTTGTTAGACGACATTATTTTTCCACGATATTCCATACAGATTGGATACCTGTATTATACCTAAATAACTATTTGAATTTTGAAGCACATTAACCTGAATACTTTTTCTAGTGATCCACATCACACTTATATAAATTATAACCGTAAGTCATAACTATACATATTTTGTTCTATACCTATAGATAGATAGATAAGATATTAATTATTTATACATATACCTACCAGTTACCAAATTACTTCTACATTTCTCACATATTATAGATAAATTCACAGTTTTTTTTAATCCAATGTATTATGACCAGGGCTCGTAAGTTCATGCATGTGCATGTTTTTTTTGCTACACAGGAAATTTGAAAAAGATTTTTTATCAACCGACAACAAAGTTTTGGTCTGTAAAGTTTGCGAAACAAAAATATCTAGTGAAAAACGTTTCAGTATTTCTCAACATATTACATCAGATAAGCATGTACGCGGTGTTCAACGTTTCCAAAGAAAGGAGGAAAACAAAAAAATACAGCTGCTCGTACCTTCATTATCAAAAACAAGTGAATATAACTTAGATTTATGTAAAGCGATGTTAGCTGCCAATATACCTCTATACAAATTATCCAATCCACAATTTAAAAGTTTCCTTGAAAAGTATACTATGAAAGATACCCCTGTAGAATCGACATTGCGATTAGGATATATTGAAAAATGTTACATCGATACGGTTGACAACATTAAAAAAAAAGTTAACGGTAAAAAAATATGGATATCGATGGATGAGACCACAGATGTTGAGGGCAGGTATATAGTGAGCACAATAATTGGAACACTCTTACATGATTCTCCTGGTGAAATATTTTTATTAAATATTGATGAGCTGGAAAAAGCAAATCATAGTACTATATGTAAAGCATTGAGCAAATCGTTGTTGTTACTATGGCCCGACGGAATACAGTACGATGATGTCCTGTTATTTGTAACTGACGCCGCACCGTATATGACAAAGGCAGCTCGTACTTTACAATCTTTTTACACGAAAATGATTCATCTCACCTGTTTGGCACATGGTCTACATCGTGTTGCCGAAGAAATTCGATCACAGTTTGGAAATGTAGACGATTTAGTGGCCAATGTTAAACAAGTATTTCGAAAATGTCTGTATCGTATTCAAACATTTAGAGATGAAGCACCTGGTTTACCATTACCCCCATCACCTGTTATTACTCGCTGGGGTACATGGTTAACTGCTGCATCGTACTACTGCACACATTTTGAAACTATAAAACGTGTAGTTGAATCATTTGACGAAAGAGATGCTGTAGCTGTAAAAAAATCGAAACAAGTATTCAAACTCCAACAGTTACAGGCCAACTTGATTTATATCAAATCAAATTTTGATTGCCTACCAATAGCGATCACGCGTCTTCAAGAACAAAGCATTATATTAAGTGAAGGACTTAAAATAGTCGAAGAAATCGTAGACACATTTTCAAAATTAGAAGGACATCACGGAATTGAAATTAAAAAAAAACTAAAATATGTTTTGGACAAAAATATCGGATACAACATAATTTGTAAAATTTCCAAAGTTTTAAGTGGCAATGAAGACAATATTACAAATTTAGATCTACCCGAAGATATGACTGCCAACGATTTATTGTACTTTAAATATGCACCCCTTACTTCAGCAGATGTTGAAAGATCCTTTTCCATGCTCAAAAACTTATTGGTAGACAACCGCCGATCTTTTAAGTTGGAAAATATAAAAAAAACACTAATCATACAGTGTAATTTCTAAAGTAAATATAATTTTTATAAATATTTAACTAAAATACCTATCTCAAAATGAAATTCCTAATATTTCATTCTAAATATTTTCATTTCAGGTGCTGGATAAGGATGACATAGACAACAAATGACTAATTAAAGAATATGACAAAGCTTTAAACGAGCACAACTATTAATTTTATTTTTATTTATTAAAATGTATAAAAATGTATATATTTATTTTTCTTATTATTTTAAAATTTGCTCATGATTTTTTTTTTTTACATAATGCATATTTTGAGTGCATAATTTAAAAATGTTAGGGCATATAAATGCATTTTTCGAACTTTTTAGAGCATATTTTAATGCATATTTTACCAATTTTTAGTGCATGAATGCATGCTAATTTATGCATTTTTTAGTGCATGAACTTACGAGCCCTGATTATGACCATTGTTAAAGTTTAAAATAAGTTTATAGTGTTTATACCGTCTGTCCGTTAAAACTGGATACACTCTATAAGCTCAGTTACCTACATTACTCAATACCCTATACATATTTTAGAATTCTGTCTAAGGGAAATTGGTGATCAAATAGTCTAGTTTCATGGCCATCAAACAGAATTCAAAAATATGGTTAGGGTACTGAGTAATATGGGTGTTTTGATTATACAGTGTACCTACCCTGTTTTCGTGGGCATACCGTATATTATGTATTTCTATTATTATATATTGACTAAAATTTATTAAAAAATCCAGTAAACTTTTCTTTTTGGTAAGGTAGAAAAACTTTTATGATAAATCGTGTATTGAATGAAACAAATCTTAGCTATAAAAATTAAAATTAACATAATTTTTAAATATCTAACTACAAAATAGCTAACAAATTATCGCTATTTTACGAACATTGTCAAAATTATAGGTTTAAGTGCTCATAAATTCTGATTATGTATTTTTAATTAGTGTATACAATTTTTTTAGGAACCTTATGTATTCAATTTTCACGGTTTTTAATATTTTTTAACAACATTTAAAGAAAAAACTAAAAAAAGTCAAATGTCTATAAAAAAAATAGTAATAGCTCAAAAATCCTCAAAATATTTAGAAAATGTTACGATACATAGAAAATTCTAATATAAACATTTGGTGAAAATTGCATTAGATTTTAAATTACGCCAAATAAAATGAAAATAAATTTGATATTGTCAAAAACTAACCAGTTTTGCATAAAAATACTCAAATTTCATTAGTTATTTTCACCGATTATTTTGAATACTAGGAATTTTCAATTTTGACCTTTCAAAAAAATTAACTCGAATATTCTATCAGAAGCCACCCTCAAAGTTGAAGATCGAAATATTTTTTCTACTATTTATCTTGCATTATAGAAACAGACAAAGAAAAAAAAACACACAGACAATATTGTAAAGTCAATGCATTCATCTCACTCCACTCAGAATCTGAAATTACATACCATATACGAATTAATAAATACATACTGATTATATACGTGTTCTTTGTACGTGCATTCTTTTGATATCGAAGATCATTTTTTTTTATGTTATTATTTATGTTCACTAAATATTTAAATATAACCTTTTGATATGCTTTATAAATATAAATATATATATATATGCTTATTATAATATAGTTATTTTAAGTTTTTTCAAATGAATTGAATACGAATATACTCAAATTCACTATCACATCATAAAAACTCATTTTTATTCAACGTTTGATTGTATCTATCATCTTGTGTATTTTCGAAATAAAATTGTCTTTACAAATCAAAATTAACTAAATATAGTATTAAAAACAACAACATGATATAATAATAATTTACAATAAAAAGTATAATATAATTTAAATATGCATTTAAAAAATACTTACATTTTATATTTAAGAAAAAGAGTGCGAAATAAAAAAAAAATTATCGTTTGATAGCGTGTGTTATTTAGTCATTTTATATCTGTAGGTGACTAAATAGTTAGAGGTGTACCTACCTATCTAAACATTCCAATGTACTATATAAATTGTACGGTTGTATTAAAAATGGTTTTATATAATGGTAAAATCCAAAATCTACTTAAATACATTGTAGAATGTTTATTATGCATAATGCTTTATCAAAAACTCACAATGACGGAAATTGAATAAGGAAAAAGTTAAGTAAAATATATTATATAGTATTATAATAATTGTTTCTGTTTATAAAAATAGTATAGGTATGGATATGGTATATCTATAATCTATATATTACATATACCTACGTCATATAATATCCTCTTCTAATTTCTATATATAATTACGTAATTATAATTTGTACACGCACATGCGTTAATAACTTACCTACATACTTATCTAAAATAAATTAAGATTAACAGTAAAAATACGACAAAAAAATAAAAATAATAGTAATAATAGTAAAAATTTAACGTAAACGATGTAGAAAATAATTTAATCACAGGCTATACGGATATTGAAGTAAATATTCAATCAGTTCGTTTGGTAGTGATGTAGGAGTGATGGTGATGAGGCCCTTGTGCCGGTTGATCACCAGGCGGGCCATGTGCTTCAGTGAAGGAAACCCTGCGGCGGTGGCCTTGACCACTGGCCGGCGGAGGTTCATCCACGAGAAGAACTGACCACGCTGGTCGATCCACACGGGGTACACGGGCATCTGGCAGGCGGCCTCGATCCGGGACAGCCGTACGTAGTAGTCGATCAGCTCGATCGGACACCGGAACTTCGGGAAGCGGAGAGAACCTGCGCGCCGTGGCATCGAGTCCAGCCCGAACACGCCATCCACGTAAGTGAACCGGACGCTCATGAGCCGGGACTGACCGGTGCGGCCTGTCTGCACGTCCAACGTAAACAGGTGTTCCGAGTGTCTGGAATCTCGAACACAAAATCGGCCGGCCGGCATGCTGGACAGCGCTTCCGCGGCCCAGGCCTGTGCCTCAGTGCCCTCGTAGTACCAGCCGGACGCCCGAAGCCGGGCGACGGCTGTAGACAGCACGCGCAGGTCGCGAGCGCCCGCAGCGTCCAATACGGTGGCCGACGCGGCCGTTGGGGCAGTGGCTTCACCGATGACGTTGTATATCGCAGCGTCATCAGCAGTGGACGAAGCGATGCACCTACTGGTAGAATGCACAGCGGTTGACCTGGTCACAGGCTGCGTGACTGCGGCGGCCGTGACGGTCGTGCTACAGCACCGGGATCCCACTCCCGTCTGCTGCTGATTGATGGGCCTGCACGACACCACCCGGCCACCGGCCAGCGTTAGCTTGGACCGTTCCAGAGACAGAGCGTGATTGATGTGCATCTGGTACAGGACCACGGTGCGCTGTTCGCACGCCCACCTGTCCCACAACCGGATCCAACACGCCTGCAATCGCATTGAATTGTCCGCATCCTGGAGAACGGCTGCGGTTGCATCGCCTCCATTATTCCCGTTGTCCGGTTGGCCCGTTTTCCAGCACTGAGTGTTTAACATCTTCTACCCATGGCCCGTACACCCAACTGCGTCTGACGTCAATAACGCGTGCACGGAAGTAGTGATTATACTTTAGCCGCCACTGAAACAATAGTAATAACAACAATAAATAATAATATAGGTAAGTATATGCTGCAGAGGTACCACACACAATATTATATTCATTGCAACTATAATAATAATCTCATTTGTGGCTTCAATCAACAATATACGTCATGTTAGCTATGTACTTAGCTATGTACTTAGCTATGTGTAATAATAATAGCAATAATTATGATTCATATCATCTTTCGATCATTCCTAACACGTCAATTTCGATTTATAGGTAAGTAATAATAATTATTATAAAAAAAAATAATTAATGACTATATGAGTGCCGAAGAAATTACGTTGGGTAAAAGTCTAAAAAAGGTGGACAAAGAGATTTCGTATTGTTGGCGAAAAAGAACGAAACCTTTAAAATTTGGAAGTCCCGTCACGTGTAGGCTTTGCGGCGGTATTGATTTCAACACTAGACCGCAAAAGTCTCTCGACACAAGCTTGGATAATTATTATGCGCACAGTATCATAGAAACATTCAACAACAATTAAAATATCTATTATATTAATAAAATTACTATTTCTATTTTGATTTCCAATATGTATTGAATTATAAAATAATTAAATGCTGTGTATCCGAGTACCACGTACGTACCTATAAGTGTATTATAGGTAAAAATGACTATATTAAAACGTTACATAGGTACGCCATATATATTTTCAGCGTGAGAAATGCATACAGCGTATGTTATAAATTAAAATTGTTAGGCAGACGCGTTTATTTATATAAACAAAGTCACTGAAATTCGCACAATTGAATGTACCGTTGTTGTTATAATTAATAACCTATCATAAAATATTACATAGGTACCTATGTATGAATTAATAACAGTAAATCATTAAGTGTTTGTTATATATATACGCGGCATATTTAACGGCATGTATTCGATATTTTTGATTTTGTACTAATAAGTTATTAAAGCTACACACCACAAGGCAAATATTATTAGTGTTGCCATGTTAAGTAAAATCAAGTGTGATAACAACACGTATGATCAGCAAAAGAGTATCCTTTAGATACAGCAAATGTTTTTAAATATTATTTAATATTTTGCTAATGCTGGTAAAGCATAAATTTAAAAATATTTTCCAAAAAAATGTTATACAATTAATGATTCAGTAAAACCTTTAAGTATAACAAAGTTTAATGGTTCGAATATGTTAAAATAAAATAGCTATACAAGGATCCTCCACACAAAATTATATGGAACTTAATATACTTCTACTTAGATCTCTGTACCTATAAGCAATTTGCCAAATTATACGAGCCAAATAAAATTGAAAGTAAGTAAGTTAACACACGTAAAATTAGAGCGTATAACATTAACGTCTGGTAGACAATATACCATTTTGGTTAACATTTCATATATTATCTAGATCCAACTATATGGTTAAATCTATGACTTTACATCTAAAAAAAATATTTTTTATAACTTTATATTAAACTTTTGACCAAGCAAAAAGATTTCTATTGACAACTATCAAAAAACGTTAGAAATTTCTCATGCCTCTATAATATAGTTCAAAAAGAATAAAATATTTTGAAAATTATACCATGTATAAAAAATGCTAAATAAACATTAGGTGAAAATTTCAAGTGACTAGGGTTATTCGTTTTCAGTTATACAACAAAATAATAAGTGATTTTGTCGAAAATTTGTTTTGCATAAAAATTCCAACTTTCCCTATTATTAAGAAAAGTACTGTGAATTTTTAATTTACATTTTTCCCCAATATTACTTATTAGATTTACTATCTTCCCAGAAAATAGATTGAAGTTAAACATCGAAGAACTTTTTATATTTTAAATAGTGTATACATATTATATTTAAAAAAAATATCTTCGTAAAATTAATACACTTATCGCTCCGCTCAGAATCTAAAATTAGTTGTTACAAAATTGAAAATGTAATGAATTTTTAAAATCAACGTAAAATAATTTTCACATTTTCGTGACTTTGTTGAAATGTAAAGTTCAAAAGTTCAAACGCTCATAAAAAATTGTTGTGGATTTACGCTGAACTTTTTTTTTAATTTTACTATCACCAACTTAAGAGGAACCTTTTATTAAATTTACAAGCTTTTTGATCGAGCATTAAATATTATCTACATTTATACAAAAAAAAATTAATAAAATTAAAAACTTTCAAATGCAAATATATATTGGTAGGTATCAAAAAGAACAAAATTATTTTGAAAATAATATCAATCAATAATATCTAGAAAATTCTAAAACAAATATTTAGTAAAAATTAAATTTTAAAGAACCTGCAGCTGTTAAGTTTTCAAGCTTTTGTATTTTTACTGAGAAAAATATGTTTGCCCCAATCCTGACATTGACTACCTCATTCTTTATTAATTATTAAGTACCTAGGTACAAATTAAACAGTAATAATTTTCAAATTTTAAAGTTCACATAAAGACGTTTTTAAGGTGTATAAACAATATCAACGTACTATGTTTTATTTGTACTATTGGTATCAACAATTTAATTTATATTTATTATATTAATATACCTGTGTATTATTATACTACTTACAATTTATATAATCAACATAATAACATTGTATATTTGTATTTGTTTGTACATGTTATGAATGTATGGACCTCGTCCAATGAAACGATTGCACTCCAACCAAATTACAGTCAAATCAAACTATGTAAAAATATGACTTAATACTTGAAAAATCGTGGCAAAAATATTGAACAAGTCCGATTAGCAAAACTTGCTGAGTTCAGCAAAATTAATTGATAACCACCGCGAATTCCACTCCGCCAATTTATTTCACAGTGGCTTGTTTTGCAGGCAGCGGCGGAATATTAATATATTTCCGGTGAAACGCGGTTTTACCGGGAATACGCCGCTACAGAGGATATAATTTTTCATTTGTAAGTAAAAAAAGTATATTTTTATATACATTATACACGTTGGGGTATTATACATACGAGCACGATGATAATACATATTATTATATACTAGATTCACATATACCTACTATATACACGCGCTACACGCATCGTATTATATAATATAATTTAATGGTATACGTATATACATCGTACATACATATTATATACTTGCTTCCACCTTCGTCTTGTGCAAATTGAATAGGATCATCGTATATTCTCATGTGTATAGGGACGCGAGTGTTTCCTCTCCTGACAACGATACGATGAATACGGAGACAATATGATAAAACGTCAGACGTGTAATATACACGTGGTAGTACATCACGCGATTGGATTTAAGGCGAGGGAGAGCATGAGTAATACGGAACATATAATTTGATGAAAAATCGTTTTCAGAATATTTCATTTGGCATTTTTATGCGCACCTATACCTACCACCGAATAGGTATTGGCGATAGAAAACCCAATTTTTAGGCCGACGGGGTGTGGAGGATCTGACTGGAAAAATAACATATAAATGATACACAACGTGACCGTTACAGCTTATCAATTCTATCGCCAATAGATCTTTTACTAAGGTATAGTGGTTAATATAAGGTCTATGCCAATAACACTGCACTACATATTATTATCATTCAGTATGATATAGATTATAGATAGACAGATAGTATATATATATAATCCGATCAATTTACCAATATCATGACACGTTATTATTAATTATTAGTTCTCCGGAATTATCAATGGAATACGCTTTGTGTCATTATGAAATTTGATTTATGAACCATTATGAGAGTAAAAAAAATAAAATAATAATATATTATATTTCATATTTTATTGTGACGTTGACACCTCTATACGTAATTTACGTTTCATCTCTTTAGTATTATTATGTATTGCGGTACAACACATTGCCTAATTTGGTTATAAATGGATGTTATTGCCATTTTCATCCAAATTTTATGAAATGAAAATAATTTATCTTCGGATTTGCGACTATAGTGGCTACCGCCCAGCTCACGTTGCGTGACGCATGTATTGCAATGCAGCGTTGTCTAATTTGGTTATATAATATAAACGTTGCCATTTGCAACAAAATTAAAATAATTTATTTTCTGTTTTGCGGCAACCACGTTGTGAAGCTAGTTGGGACAGCCGACAGGTGCACTCCGGGAGGGAGGGAACCGACGTCTCTACAATAAAGAAGAATTTTTTTTATAAGATTTTGATAGGCACCTCAACAACCCCCCCACCACAAAAAAAAAATAATTAATTAATACCTGGAGCCGTATCTGAGTTGGTGTCCAAAATAATCTCATTCGTCGTTAAACATTGATATTTAACATGTGATTGATGTATATACATCGTATAAAACGTGATAAAAAAAATGTTATCGCTCCGCTCGAAGAAACATTATTAAAATTGTATAAGTACCTATATAGGTAATAAAATAACCACTTTTTGCATTAAAACGGCGAGGTTTTCTACGTATTTTAATTTAATATTTGAGTATGCTACAGCGATGGATCCACACAAATAATAATAATAAGGAATTTTTTTCAGTCAAAATATTTATTTATATTATTTTTACTATACATCTACCTATTCGCCACCATTTTCTATGTTAAAGATTTCTAAATCTAAAATATTGAAATTTATTTTCCAATGGTTTTTATAGATAGTAGGCCACTATGGTCGCTAGGATGAGCGTACAAGGATAAACTCCACGCTGATTTCCACCGATGTTACAGTCTTTTATATATTATAATATAAAACAAGATTATTAATGAATAAGCTAATATTTTAAATATTTTAGACTAGCAGAGCAGTTTCAGATTGAGGGTTTTTACAACAATAACTGAACTTATACTGAACAATAAATGAAACTTTTTTTAGTAGAAAAAATACTTCAATATATATTTTTTTATAAGCAATATTATAGTTTCATTTTCGACGAAATTGGATATTCAAAAGTAAAATAACCATTTTAA